TGCAGCAGCGCAGGCTCAGGCCGAGGCAGCTGCCGCGGCGCAGGCACAGGCTCAGGCTCAGGCCGAGGCAGCTGCCGCGGCGCAGGCACAGGCTCAGGCTCAGGCCGAGGCAGCTGCCGCGGCGCAGCGAAGTGAGGTCACCTAGCTCCTAATCAAGGCATGGCTCCGCGAGCTCCCCGAGTCTCTTATCCCGTCGTCGGCCTACCCGTCGTTCATGGCTGCCCTCGAGAAGACGACTGAGGATGAGAGTGTTGACGTTCTCCGAGCCTGCGTTGCTGATCTCGCACCACAGCGCCGCGCCGTTCTTGCCTTTCTCCTCAGGTACTTTCACCGCGTCGCCAAGTCGTTCAAGAGCAACAAGATGTCGGCCAACAACCTCGCCATTGTCCTTGGCCCCAACATCCTGCGCCTCCCCGACCTCTCGCCATACGAGGAGATGGTCGCAGGGCAGAATGTCAACGATGTCACTGCTCTCCTCATCAAGCGTGCCGATGTGATTCTTGGGGAGGACCTCGGCGGCGACTCTTCAGCTGGGACCAAGGCCGAGGCCGAGGCAGCTGCAGCAGCGCAGGCCGAGGCCGAGGCAGCTGCAGCAGCGCAGGCACAGGCTCAGACCGAGGCAGCTGCTGCAGCGCAGGCACAGGCTCAGGCCGAGGCAGCTGCAGCAGCGCAGGCACAGGCTCAGGCCGAGGCAGCTGCCGCGGCACAGGCACAGGCCGAGGCCGAGGCCGAGGCAGCTGCAGCAGCGCAGGCTCAGGCCGAGGCAGCTGCCGCGGCGCAGGCACAGGCTCAGGCTCAGGCCGAGGCAGCTGCCGCGGCGCAGGCACAGGCTCAGGCTCAGGCCGAGGCAGCTGCCGCGGCGCAGGCGCAGGCTCAGGCCGAGGCAGCTGCCGCGGCGCAGGCGCAGGCTCAGGCCGAGGCAGCGGCACGGGCACAATCCGCCGAGGCGGTCCGTGCTCAGGCCGAAGCAGCCTCGGCGGCAGCAGCCTCGGCAGCGGCGGCGGCCCTCGAAATGAGTGACGACGAGCCGCCGGCCAATGACGACGCCACCCTTGATGACCTCATGTCCCAACTTGACGATCCCGACGTCGCATCCCCTGCTGCGGCTCCGCCCATAGCCTCGGCTGACATCAATGACGCACTTGCAGAGCTGGACAGTCTCGGCTTTTAAACTTATGGCCTTCCTTCTGCACGCCATCCGCGCCGTGGGCTTCCCGCCTCCATCCCATCGCGCCTGCCGATCGATCACAACCGGATCGTGATCACCCGGCTTTGGGAGAGCAAGCCAGCCCCTTCTTGGCGCCAAGCTCACACTCGACGCGAGCGGCATGCTGTCGTCGACAGCTTCACCAAGCCCAACGCCTGAGGGCTCTATCCAGACGGAGAGCTCGTCTGTGTCGTATGACGCCGTCTCTATGAACTTCTCGTCCTTTGACGAGGTCGTCGACGCCGAGCCGGTCTTGGCGCCAACTTCTGCTGCTGGCCAGGCGGCGACTTCCGCCGAGTCAGGCACCGCCATGCTGGGTTACCAGATGGCGACCGAGTCCCCGCCAGCAACTCCAGATGCCTCGGACGTCTCGACTGCGTCGTCGTCGGCTACGCCCTCGCTTTCACTCTCGCTCTCGCTCTCACCGCTCGACTCGCCCGCACCGCTCGACCCGCAACGCCCGCCTGCCCGCTCCGCCGCTCCGCCATCGGTCCCGCAGCCGTTCCGCTTTGGCGAGACAAACAGGAGTTCAGGCGAGCCGAGACAGATCGATGATGCCCGCCGTGGCCTCGATGCCGAGAATGCGTACACCAAGTTCAAGAAGACTGAAGCCATCGCTGCCGGCGGACTGCGCCCGCGCGCTGCCGCGGCGCCTCGGGCTCCGCTCAGAACTCTCTCGGCCAACGCCTTTCGCAGCAAGCTGCACGACACCCTCGTCGCTTCGCGCATCATCCCGACCATGCAAGCCCAGTTGCGGACACAGATCCTCGAGTCGCTCCGCGGCATTTCTGGAAAGGGTCTGGTGCCCAAGTCGAGCGCGGCCAGCGACACGTCGGCCTCGCTCACCGACCTCGCCATCAACAGACTCATCGCGCAGTACTGCGAGGCCGCCGGCTACCACTACGCGCTCTCGGTTTTCATGCCCGAGTCAGGCACTGCTCTCGAGTCGCCGCTCGACCGCAGTGACGTGCTCAAAGCACTCGGCCTCGCTGCCGACGCCGTTCCCGACGATGGTAGCGCGAGGTCGTGGCTGGCGCAGATTGTGGCCGCGCTCGCCGCGCACCCCAGGTTCAAGGGCACCCTCGTTGATGCGGGGTCTCAGACGTTGGAGACCGGCATGGCGCCGGGCTCGTCGCTCGACTCAAAGCTCGCTGCAGTTGACATGGCCATGAACACCAGGCTCGGCGGCGCCGGGAGCACGGCTGGCTCGACGGCGTCGATGGAGGAGCAAATGGCGGTGTTTGAGCGTGAGCTTACCTTGCGCATGCAAGATCAGCTGCGCGAGCAGATGGCCCAGTTCAAGTCGGCCGAGCTCTCGTCGATGCGGCTGCAGGAGGCCGCCAAGCATCGGGCACAGCTTGCGGCTGAAAAGGAGGCGCTCGAGCGCGAGTATGCTGCCCGGGCCGGGCGCTGGACGATCGCGACGCCGAGCTCAACCGCCGCCTCAAGCGCAAGCACAAGGATTCAGAGTACGTGCTCCAGCAGGAGCGGGCCTCATTGCTGGAGGAGATGGCGGCCGTCAAGGCAGCGGCTGCAGAGCGCGATGCCGCGCTCGACCTTGCTCGTCGCAAGCTCGAGCTGGAGCGCGAGGAACTCCGTGCTCGCCGGGCAGCCCTCGATGCCGAAGCCAACGAGCTCGACGAGGCCCGCGCCGCTGCCAAGGCCAAGGCCTGGGACGACTTTGCCCGCTACAAGCAAGAGTACGAGGCACTGCAGCGGGACAAAAACGCCGCTCTTGCCGCAGACCGTTCGTTCCTTGACGAGGAGCTTGCTGCGCTCGCCGAGCGCAAGGCCAAGCTCGGCTCGCTGCCTGCAGAGGCTTCTGAGCTCCGCTCTGAGCTCTCTGCCGCCAAGGCTGCTCTCGCAGACGCAACTGCCGAGCTCAACACGCTGCGCGCTGCCAAGGAAGCGGCAACATCGAAGGAGGTCGAGTGGCTCGCACTCTATACCCAGATCACTGACGAGCTGGCCGAGGCCCAGTCGGTGGCCGCCCAGTCCGAGCAAGAGCTCGCTGCCGCCCGCCTCCGCATCATCGAGCTCGAGCACGACGGTGCGAGCAGGGGTGCCGCAGCGCCTAGCGCATCGGTTGCTGCTGCCACCCGGGCGGAGCTCTACCCTGCGCCGGAAATTGACTCGGTCTTCTCCGAGTACGCGGCTCGTGACTCGCCGGTCAAGCTGGCTCGACCGCGCGACGCGCGCGAGGCTGCGCGCGAAGCTGGACACGGCAGCGAGTCTGCGCCGAGTGGGGCGGGCACTAGCGATGTGCTGGCCCGTGCGCAGGCCCAGATTGCGGCGCTCGCCAAGGAGGAGGCCGAGCTCCAGTCCAAGCTCTTTTCTCAGTCGCGGGTCTTGCGGCATGGCCAGAGCTCGCCGCCGCCGCCTGCCCAGCTGCCGTATGCGCCGGCGCGGTCGACCACTCCGCCACGGGAGCCTGCGGCTCAGCCACAGTCGCCGGTTGATGTGGAGCGGCATCTGAGCTGCATTCGCGGCGGTGAGCTGCGCCCGCTGGCAGGCAGCGGAGCTCTTCCGCTTGAAGAGCGCATCCGCCGGCAGATGGGGTCACCGCCACGGAGCGAGGACCGCAACGATCAGGAGGCACGACTGCGCGCCGAGCGCGAGGCCCACGAGGCTGCGCTCCGCTCGGAGCGTGCCGCCGAAGAGGCGCGGCTGCAAGCGAAGCGTGCGGCGGCCGAGGAGGCGCAACGTGCGGCGCAGACCGAGATTGCGCGAATTCGGGCTGAGGCTGAGGAGGCCAAGCGGGCTGCGGAGCGTGAGGCCCACGAGGCGAGCACCCAGATTGCTGCCGCGCGTGCGGCAGCTGAAGCCGAGGCCGGGTCTGTCGCCGCTGCCGAGGCTGCGCGGATCAAGGCCGAGACCGCGGCCTACCGCGAGGCGGCAGCGGCTGAGACTGCAGCCCAAGTTGAGGCGGCACAGGCAGCACTTGCTGCTGCCGAGGCCAAGGCTGCGGCCCACCGTGAGGCGGCGGTCGTCGAAGCTGATCGGGTCCGTGCCGAGGCGGTAGCTGCTGCCAGCGCCGAGGTCGAGCGGATTCGGGCCGAGGCTGAGCAGCAGCGTATCGAAGCGGCTGCAGCACTGGCCGCCGAAACCGAGGCTGCGCGAGAGGCTGCCGCCGCCGAGATCGAGCGTGTCAAGGCTGAGGCTGCTGCCGAGGCCGAGCGTGTCAAGGCGGAAGCTGCAGCTGCTGCCGCCGAGGCTGAGCGTGTCAAGACCGAGGCTGCTGCCGAGGCCGAGCGTGCCAAGGCGGAAGCCGCGGCCGCGGCACGGCGCGAGCAGGACCGCCGCGACCAAGAAGAGCTCGAGCGGCAGGAGCGGGCAGCGGCGCGTGACGCTCGGCTCCGAGAGCAGCAGCGTGAGATGGAGGCCCGGCTGGCGGAGCAGGCTTCGGCGGCTGCGGCGGCAATGCCGACCGAGACAGCCACGCCAGCGGGTGTGTCAACTGGACTCCAAACGCAGGCAGTCGGGATGGCCGACGCCGGGACTTCACCGATGGCGATGCGCCAAGACTCACCGCCTATGGCTTCGTCCGGCTCAACGCTCGAGTCCATCTCGTTTGAGGACACCGACGACGACCTTGACGAGCTCCTGTCGTACGGCGTGGGTGGTGCGGGCAGCGCCGTTGGCGCGAGCGGCGGTGCGGCTCGCGCGCCGCCGGTATTCGAATCGCAATTCCGTCCGCCTCGTCTCCCGCAGTTTGATGCTGAGCAGGAGGCGCGGTTGGCGCGCGAGCTGCAAGAGCGCGAGGCTCGGATCGAGAGCGAAAAGTCGCTCCGTGCAACTGGTGCTCGCCAGGCACCGGCCGACGATCCGGTTGAGACGCAGGTGCGGATCGAGACCGAACGGGCGGAGCGGCTTGCGCGCGAAGACGCGGCGGCAGCTGCGGACCTCGCGTCGCAGCTTGACGATGAGCAGGCCAAGTTTTTCGCCATGGCCAAGGCCAAGCGCGAGCGCGAGCGGGCGGCGTCGGAGGCGGCGGCGACAGAGCCCGGCCGGCACGGCTCGTCGTCGACGTCGGCGTCGTCAGTGGACGAGCTTCTGCTCGATGACTCGGACCTTGATGCGCCCGCCGGTGGGTATGGCGGACTGGGCGACGACGATGACGACGAACTGTGGTGAGCGGTAAAAAACAGAGAGTGAGAGCAGAGGAGACGGCATTTACTTGCTTGTGATGATGTCCTTAGCGAGTGCCGAGACGGCCTTGCCATCGGTCACGCCCGAGTCGATGAGCGAGCGGAGGCGCGACATGACGGCGCCCATGTCCTTCATCGACGACGCACCCGAGTCAGCAACAGCCTCGGTGACGGCAGCATGGAGGGCATCGGCGTCCATCTGGGCAGGCAGGTACGAGGTGATGATGTTCTTCTCCTCCAGCTCTTTGGCGGCCTGCTCGGGGCGGCCTGCGCCGTCAAAGGCAGCCGCAGCCTCATCGCGCTGCGCGGCGAGCTTGCGAAGGACGGAGATGACCTCGGCATCCGAGTAGCTCTCGCCGCGAACCTTCTCGCCTGATGTGATCTCTGCCCGGATCAGACGCAGCGTGTCCAGCTTGACCGCGTCCTTGGCCTTCATGGCCACCTTCATGTCCGCCATCAGGTCGGCCTTGAGCGGCGCCGCCGCTGCCCATCCACCAGCAAACCCACGCGCGACTGCGCCCACCACCGCATGCATTTCTCCTCCCATGGTCATCCGCAGCATCGTCCCCTGTTTGCCCGTCAAGTGTGCCCACCCCAGCTCGGACTGCCCTGCTGCTGCCGCTGGCCGTGGGATGCCGCGTCGGGGCAGCTGCAGACGACGCCCATGGCCATCCTGCCGCCATCTACCGCCCCCCCCCCCCCCCCTCCCCTCCTCCTCCCCTTCTCACTTCTTTTCTTCTCCTATCCGTCCGGCCCATCCGGTTTGCCCGATCCGCCCAATCCCCTTGATCCCAACCCCCTCGGTGTTGTTGTTGGCCAGCTCGGCTGGCATTGGGTAGGCGACGGGCGGCGGCTGGCGGCTGGTCGGCCGGCGGCTGGCGGCTTGTCGACTGGCCAACTACGACCCTTTCGGACGGATTTCAGGAAGGTGACATGGAGCAGGAGGAGCAGGAGGAGCAGGAGCAGGAGCAGGAGGAGGAGGGGGAGTCTGCACAGCTGGGCATTGCTCTGCACGCAAGCGGATAGTCACAGGCACAACAAGGGTCATTAACTGGATATGGAGAGTCTGGGTCCGCAGGGAGCTTTGACGTGGCCGGTCAGGTCGGCGGCGAGGAGGTGGCGGTGGCGGTGGCGGTGGCGGGAGACTGGCTGGTCTCCCAGGGCTGGCGACTCGCGGCGTATGCCTTGGCGCCATCGGTGCTCCAGACAGCACCCGTGGGCATTGTAGCTGTTGACGTGGGATACATGGGCGAGGATGATGACGGTTCGCCAGGCGATGCGGGCTCGCCAGGCCAGGCATCGGAACCGTCTGGTCCACGGGAGGTCGATGAGGCCACATGGTTGGCAAGGTCGCGAGTGCTGGAGGTCGACGTGGCTCGCCGGGAGGTGGTGACGGTTCTAGCTGCCCGACCAAGGGCATTGGCGGCGGAGACTGCGGCACTGGTAGGCGCGCAGACGGCGCGGGTGGGGATGGATGAGAGCAGCGACGATGACGATGATGAGGTTACTGGCGAGCGTGTGGCCGGCGCTGCGGCCGAGGCTGGGGAGGCGGAATCGAGCACGGCCGCGCCGCCGGCGATGGTCGGCGTGGACGATGACCTTGCTGCCGTGGTGAAGGCGCGGTCGGTCGAGTACTACCTGCAGCAAGCGGCAGAGCTGCTCGGCGAGGAGGGCGGGGATGAGGGTAGCGGCGAGGGTAGCGGCGAGCGCAGCGGCGGCGGCGAGAACTCGCTGGTGGACGTCTCGCTAGATTCACTCGATGGCGAGGCGTGACTACGGGCCAATGCCAGGCTACAGTGCGGCGTGCAAAGGCACACGGCTGCTACGAGACGACGCAGCGCGACTTTTTCGACGACTGGGCCTGGGCCTGGGCCTGGGCGGCAGCGGCGTGTGCGGCGGCGGTGGCGACGATGACGTCATCGTCCTCCTCCGGTGGGAGGTACTTGCGGCGCTCGCCGGCGCGCGGGCGCGACGACGACGACCGCAGCCACGAGTACTCGGTGTCAAATGAGGCGGTAAATGTCGAGTGCAGGGTGGACATTTCCGACGAGAGCTCCGAGCGCGACATCGACGACGACGCGGCGTCGCCGGCCGAAGTGCGGATGCGGAGCGCGGCCATCGGCAGCGTGTACATGGTCTGCTCGTTGTGCTGGTGTGGGTCAACGGCGGTCACACGCGGGTTGACCTTAAACAGGTCCATGACAACCTGCTGGTCGCCGGCGGCGAGGACCAGATCGCGCTCGGCGGTCACATCCTCGTACAGAACCTGAAGCGCGGGGAGGACGGATGACTCGGTCTCCTGCTGCTTGTAGAGGTGAGGCCAGCCGAGGCACGGGCCGGCGGCGGTGGAAGCAGCGGCGGCTCCGGCAGGCTCGGAGCAGGATGCGTCGTCATCGTCCGAGAGCGACGACGACTGCGACTGCCGGTCGCCAGAGACGGTGCCGCGGCCGCCAGCGCCATCCGGGTCGCCGGGCAGGGCGCCGCCGGGCGCCAGGCCAAGCGCCGGCGACGAGTACGAGCGTGACGAGCGAGCCAGGCGGCGGTGCATCGACGGCGGGTCGGGCGTGCGGGCCGCGGGCGCCAAACGCCCCTCAGCGGGGCCGTCGGCGTTGCGGACGACAGCAACAGCGGGATTGTGGGGCCGGCCGGATGCTGGGCGCGGGGAAGCTGCGGCTGCGGAGCCAGTGCGTGCGCGGCCGGGAAGCCCGCTCCGCGGGGTGCTTGACGCAGTGGCTTCGTGCGACTCGGAGGCTTTGGGCGGCGAGTGCGGCGCATCAAGCGGCAGCGTCCACGACAGCGGCGAGACGTCGAGCTTGAGGAACGGGTGGTGCTTGAGAGCAAAGATGGAATACCTGCGCTCAGGCTCGGGTTCGAGCATGCCGCCGAGCACGTCGCGGAGCAGCGGGTCCATGCCTGTAGGCATGCGATACTCGCCGGCGGCGATGTTCTCGAGCAGGTGGTAGTGGGAGCGGCCAGTGAACGGGTACTCGCCGGTGACCATGTTGTAGAGGGTGACGCCGAGGGCCCAGACGTCCGACTTGAAGCCCGAGAACGACTCGACGCCACGGGCAACCTCTGGTGGTTGGAAGGCCGGCGAGCCGAGCGAGGACGAGATGTAGTCGTTCTCCGAGTACACGTCGAGCATCTGGGCAACGCCAAAGTCTGAGATCTTGATGGTGCCATCGAGGGCGACCATGATGTTCGACGGCTTGATGTCGCGGTGGATGACGCCCGAGCGGTGGATGTACTCGAGGCCGCGAACGAGCTGGCGGAGATATGCCTGGATCTCAAACAGGGTGAGGCCGCCATCCAGGGCGCGAGCCGGGCGCCTCCGTGAGCGGCGCTTGCGACGTCTCCGCGATGACGACTTTGAGGCGGCGCGGCGATGGGCAAGGAGCTCGCGGAGGGTGCCACCAGGCACATACTCGAGCACCATATACAGCTTAGCATTCTTCTCGTCCTCCAGCACCTCGTACAGGGCAACAGCATGCGGATGCGAGCCGAGGTGCTTCATGACCTCGATCTCCCTGCGGACGCGCGCGGCACCGACGTCAGCATTGCCACCGAACCTCCGCTTGAGCCTCCGCTTCTTGACCTCCTTGATGGCAACTCTCCGCAGTGAGACAGTGTCGTACGCCTCACGGACCTTGCCAAACGAGCCTTCACCAAGTACCTCTCCCACCAGATACCTGGAGACCATGTGGACGACCTTGGCCGCGCCGTCGTCGACATAGGCCACCGACAGGGCGCTTGCCGAGCCACCGCCTGCCGAGCCACCACCTGCGGATGACGCTGCCATGCGAGGTATGGTATGGACAGACATGGTGCACCTCCCTGTGGGGTTGTGGGTGGGGGTGGTGGTGGTGGGGGTGGGTGGTGGGTGGTGTGTGGGGGGGGTGTGATCGTGATCGTGATCGTGATCGTGAGTGGGGGGGGAGGGGGGAGGGGAGGGGAGGAGGGATTGGGAGCAGGGATGGATGTGGGGATGGATATAGGTGGATGTGGGTGTGGGTGTGGGTGTGGTGGTGGTGGCGGTGCTGATCGTGGTTGTGGTCGCAACAAGGGGGGGTACACTCGACGCCAGCATGCGGGCGCGATGGGAGCAACTGCGGCGTGATCGAAGATGGCTGGTCCTGGACGGAGGGATGGGGACGGTGCTTGGGGAGGAGATGGTGCTAGATGGGGTTCTATGGGGGACCGAGGCTCTTGCCAATGCCGATGGCCTTGCTCGCACTGCTCGGGTCCACGCAGCGTACGCTGCCGCTGGCGCCCACGTCCTCACCACCAACACATACCAGGCCACAAGAGCTGGCTATGCCCAGGTCTTGGCGGCCACCGCATGTGAGGCCGACGAGTTTATGCGCGCTGGCTTTGCCCTCGCCGCCGAGGCCGCTGCTGACCGCGCTGCCGTCGCCATCTCACTCGGCTCGTACGCCGCATACCTTGCCGACGGCTCCGAGTACACAGGCGTGTTCGACGCCGGCGACGCCGAGCTCGAAGCCTTCCATGCCGAGCGGTTGGCGGCCTTTGCCCCACTTGCCGATGCCGATCTGTTTGCCTTTGAGACGCTGCCGTCGGCCCGGGAGATCGCAGTCGTCCTCGACGTCGTCGCCGCGGCTGCCGAGGCCGGGAGCGTCTCCGGCGCGTGGCTCTCGTTCTCGGCGAGGATCGAGAGCAGCGGACGCTCGGTGCTGGCTGATGGCACGCCGCTCTGCGAAGTTGCGAGCATGGTGGCCGATTCACAGGCAGCGCAGGCCGGCGCTGTCGTCGCCATCGCCGTCAACTGCTGCCGGCCACGTGATGTGGCGGCCCATCTCGCTGCGCTGGCCTCCGGCGCGCCGGGCCTTGGTCTGGCGGCCTACCCGAACGCGGGCGCCTCGTACGATGCCGAGATCAAGGACTGGACCCCGATCGACTGCCAAGCGTCGGCAGCGATGGTCATTGAGGCTCTACCAGAGTGGGAGGCAGCCGCGGGCCACGCTCTGGTCATGGTAGGGGGATGCTGTCAGCTCGGCCCCGAATATGTGGCCGCGCTGGCGTCCGCAGTGTGAGAGTCAAAACCAAGTGTGGAAACAGACATCGTTGGCGCAGAAATGCGTCATATTTGAAACTCAAACAAAAACAGAGATGATTCGCCTTTCGCCCAGCACATGGTTGCGATTTACGCGAGACTACCTCAACAACTTTTTTTTTTGCCCTGACTGCTGCCCATCACATAGCGCTTGTGTGCGCAGCCCCGACAGTGCAGTTTGATGTAGTCTGTTGTGCGTGGGTGTGAAATGAGCGGTGCTTGAGGTGCGTGAGAATGTCGAGCGTCCGAGTAGAGAGTCAATTTTTGGCAGTGGCACGTGTCATTTTTTTGTTTTGACGATCGCCGCCCGCTGACACCACGGCGTCGCTGCCGCTGCTTGCGCCTCTTTGAGCGCTTCTTCGAGCGCTTCTGGGATGTTGATTGGCGCTTGACAGGCTTCAAGAGAGGATGGCGGCGGCGGATCGGGGCGGCAACCATGTTCTCATAGACGGCGTGCGCGGTGACGACCGACGGCTCGACGGCGCCGGACGGGGATTCGATGTCCGAGTGCAGGAGTGCCGAGGCTGCGACAGGCCGCGAAAAGTCGAGATCGTCAAGCGCCACAGGCGGCTGGTGGCCGTAGCGTAGAATGACTAGCTGGGGTGCCCCATCGGACGCCGAATTGTCGACAAGGACCGGGTTGTACCCGGCTGCCCGGGCGGCGCGCACAAACTCAGCGCGATGCTTCCGCTCACGCTTGGTCCATTGCACACCGCTTCGCCGGCGACAGAGCCTGGTGCGGTGTTTGCGTGATCGCAGAACCGTAGGCACCCGCGAGACCGTCGACTTGAACATCGGCGAGGCCAGGCCGATGACCTCTGACAGCGGCGTCGATGATGACGACAACGACGACGACGACGACGACGACGACGACGACGGCGATGGTCGCGATCGTGACCGGCCCGAGCGGTGGCTCCTCAGCGAGCCTGACCGAGAACAGGAGAGGGAGCGAGCAGCCCTACGTGAACGCGAACGCGAACGGGGCGTGAGCGTGAACGTGAGCGTGAGCGCGAGCGTGCGCGTGAGCGCGAGCGCGAGAGAGAGATCGAACGTGAGCGTGAGCGTGAGCGTGAGCGTGCGCGTGAGCGCGAGAGAGAGCGCGACATCGAACGTGAGCGCGATCGGGAGCGTGAGCGTGCGCGCGAGCGCGACTGCAGCGCCTTGGCCCTGCGGCGCGAGACGACGACAACACCATTGTCCGAGAGCGGCAGGTCGGCGAGCGGGCGACGGACTCGGGCCTTTGAGCGAGCCGTGGCACTCCGTGAAGGACGCGCCATGGTAGAGGCGTCGTTGCCCATGCTAAAGGGAGGGGTGGTAGTGCCAGTGGTGGAGTGGAGTGGCTGTGGCTCTGGTTATGGGCGTGTGGGCGTGTGGGCGGGTAGGCTGTGTTTGCCCCGGTGGCGCGAATTTTTGAATTGTTTTGGCCGACAGAGTCGCTCGCTGTCGCTGCACTACAGGAACTCGTTCTTGATGTTCCACTTGTGAGTGGACCGATCGAGAGTGGCGATGGATCGAAGGAGGGCACGCATGCGGATGACTTCTTCGCGCGGCTTGTTTTGGAGGTCAAAGTGGGTCATAAACGCCGAGGTGGTGGTCGCGCCGAGCCAGCGCGGCGAGACGAGGAAGGCCCGGATGGCAAGTAGATCGGCGCCGCCGTCGTCGGACGAGCCGAGCGCCACGGCGGGGTCAGTGGCGGTCTCTTCAAGAGCTTCGAGCTCGCGGGCGATGGCACGGTCGTCGTCCATTCGCTCTTCGACGGTGAGGTGAGCGTCGTCGTGGCCATCGTTGCCGACAAGATTGCCCGAGGCTGCCACGGCGACCCGACGCTCCTTGAGCCGACCCAACAGCGCAGTTGCCGAGAGCGGGTCGCTTCCAGAAGCGTGCGCCTCTTTCTCGGCAGTGGCGACTGCCTCGGGATCAAAGATCGACTCGTTGTTGGGCTGGGCGGCGGCTGAGGTCCACGAGGCGTAGACGGAGGGCGGCGGCGGCGAGGCGGCGTCGTCGGCTGTCGGCGGCGCGAGGCGTGCGCGGCGAGCGGCGGCGG